CACACCCCTCGGTGTTGCGCCCGCACCGAGCTCAGCCAGTGAGCGGGAACCGGTCTCCACATGGGATGCGAACCCTCGGGCGGGAGCGCCGCCGCACTTCCCAAGCGGCGCACTGTAGCAGTGCACCACCGGGCCGGCCCGCCACAACATTCTTAAAATGCTGCAAAACAAGTAGTATGATTCTATTTTTAAGAAAGAAACTTTCTGGGCCGGCCCGGTGGTGCACTGCTACAGTGCGCCGCTTGGGAGCGTGGTGGCGCTCCCGCCGAGGGTTCGGATCCCATGTGGAGACCGGTTCCCGCTCACTGGCTGAGCTCGGTGCGGGCGCAACACCGAGGGTTGTGATCCCGTTGCCGGTCCCCAGTACGGGCGCGACACCAAGGGTTGCGATCCCGTTACCGGTCAGTAAAAAAGACAAAAAGGAAAAAAAAAATAAAAATGTTGTGGAGAGGAACTTAGAAAAAGTTCGAAGGGGGCTGGCCTGTGGCTCCCCCAGGAGAGTGTGGTGCTTATAACTCCAAGGCCATGGGTTCAGATCCCACATAGGGATGGCACCAAGTCAAGGGTTAAGATCTCCTTACCGGTCATCTTTAAAAAAAAAAAAAAAAAGTTTGAAGGCTAGATAGTTCTATTCTAGTGATTTAACAATACTTGTGCTAAAATAGAAGCTAAATATAAACAAGGAGTGCTTTAGAAAACTCTCTGGAGGCCAAATGGGTGGCCTGAGATGGTAGAAATAGAAGTTTCTCCAGAAAGGGCCAGTGTCCTTATCTTTTACTATCAATAAAGTCTTAGGACTGGAGAGAGTGCTGAAAATTGCCATAACCAGTGTTGTTCATTCCAGTAAGTGGAACTTTTAATAACCTTTCTAATTTCCTGCCTTGCTCCAAAAGACAAGTGTTAACAAGCCATTCTCCTGACTTTAAGCTTGCAATAAATATTCCAGCACAGCATGTGATTTGACCAGAGAGTTAAACATGCAAGCTTGCATGATATTTAGAGGCTTATTATGACCTATCTCAGCCTTCCCACTTTCAAAGTGATTTCTCCCTTTAGAGCCATTAATCCTAAATATGTGTGTGTGTGCGTGTGTGTGTATGTGTGTGCGTGCACACGTGTGCAGATGTGTATGTGCTGTCGTTTATTCAAAGGTGTTTCTATTTAAGTTGATTAATCCAAGCACAATTAAAATGATGCTGACCAGATTAATTCCATTTAAAGCTTATTTGTTAGCCAAATGCTATGTTAAATCTTATATACGAATAATCCTAATCCTTTAAAAATATTTGGTACTTAAAAAAATGACTCTAGATCATTTATACAGATTATTCGAGGACACTGGCTTCTAGATAAATTGAAAACCTCCTCTCTCATTCTTTGCTTACTAGAATTAGACTGTCAAAATATGGAGGAAAAAAAAAAAATCCCTGAAGAGGAAACCTCCATAGGAGAAGCAGATGTAAGACCTTCTGAGATGGTCAGAAAGTAACAAATTAGGGGGTGGGGGGGAAGATAGAATTTTTTTTTAAGTAACAAGTATTTTTTATAAATAGAGTTTATTTTTTAAAGCAGTTTTAGGTTCACAAAAAAATTGAGCAGAAGATACAGAGATTTCCCAAAACCCCCAGCCCCACACATACAGAGCCTCCACATTATCAACATCCCCCACCAGAGTGGTACATTTGTTAAAATCAATGAACCTACATTGACACATCATTATTACCCAGAGTCCATAGTTTACTTTAGGGTTCACTTTTGGTGTTATATAGTCTATAGGTTTGGACAAATGTACAATGACATTTTCACCACCCTAAAAATCCTCTGTGCTCTACCTATTCATCTGTTCCTCTCCCCCAGCTCCTGGCAACCATTGATCTTTTTACTGTCTCCATAGTTTTGCCTTTTCCAAAATGTCATATAGTTGGAATCATACAGTATGTAGCCTTTTCAGATTGGCTTCTTTCACTTAGTAATATGCATTTAAGGTTCTTCTGTGTCTTTTCATGGCTTGGTTGCTCATTTTTTAGTGTTTTGGAAGTACCACAGTTTGTTTATCCATTAACCTACTGAAGGACATCTTGGTTGCTTCCATGCTTTGGCAATTATGACTAGAGTTGCTATAAACATCCTTGTGCGGGTTTTTGTGTAGACATAAGTTTTCAACTCATTTGGGTAAATACCAAGGAGTAGAAGTTTTAATTTTAATGAAGTCCAGCTTATCACTTTTTTCTTTTATAGATCATGCTTTTGGTGTTGTATCTAATAAGTCTTTGCCAAATCCTAGTTCATCAGACTCTCTTGTGTTAACTTCTAGGAGTTTTAAAAGTTTTGCATTTTACACGGAAGGCTGTGATCCATTTCAAATTAATTTACAGACCATTTTCATTCTTAGTTTCCTGATGAAATTCATGAAAAGTAAAGGAAGTTGGATTAGTATATTAAAACATTTCTGAAAGTACAAAAAGGTTTTCTCATTTGTTACCTATATAGCCTTGAGCAAATAACCTCTTTACATCTCAGATTGTTCATTTCATAATGAGGATAATACTTTTGACCTCCTAGAATTGATATGAGAACTAAGTGAGATGGTGTGATAAAACACTCTGTCTTTTTTTTTTTTTTTTTTTTTTTAAAGATGACTGGTAAGGGGATCTTAACCCTTGACTTGGTGTTGTCAGCACCACGCTCAGCCAGTGAGCGAACCGGCCATCCATATATGGGATCCGAACCCGCAGCCTTGGTGTTATCAGCACCGCACTCTCCCGAGTGAGCCACGGGCCGGCCCTACACTCTGGAGCTTCTGGGTTGCTGAACATGTGGAGATGCTGGGAGAGTGGTTAGCTCAGAGAGGGCATGGAAGCTCTCTCCCTGCCCCCCAACCTTGTCCTATCTATGTCTTCATGTGTATCCTTTGCAATGTCCTTTATAATAAATTGGTGTAAGTAAAAACAAAACAAAGAACCACAGCACCATGCCTGCTTCACAGTAGCAGTTCTTGATGTTCTTGCTATCATAATGTTGACGAAGATGAGGATGGAGACTTAAAATGTAAGGGGAATTTTGAGTTTTTTTTTTTTTTTAACTTACTCCTCACTGATTGTAAATTCCATTTTTTGATAGATAGTGGACTTTGTAGCAGCAACTCTGCAGAGAGCGTGTGCAAGCTTGGCCCATCAGGCAGAGAGCACCGTGGAATCGCAGACACTGAGCATGTCCATGGGACTGGTGGCTGTCATGCTAGGAGGAGCTGTTCAGGTGAGTGGTAGACATGAGCCAAACTTGAATGAAGGGAAGAGAAAGCGAAATACCTGTTGCTTCCCTTTTATGCCCTTGTGAGAAATAAGAATGGATATTGTATATAGGAGAACCAAGATAAACAAGTTAGGTTGTAATGAGAATTCTTTCCAAAGTAGAGGACAAGAAAATTGGACTATTTCTACTCGGTCACCTGAGTAGATTTCACTATCAGAAGGGCAGGGCCCTTTCATACTTGGCACAAGCTTGATTCGGAAACATCTAGCATGGTGTTTTGCGTCTGAGGCAAATACTAAATTCTCTGGCCCTCACTTGCCAAAGCTCAGCCCTTGTTCCTTCTCCTGTAGTCAGGTGGAAATCATTAGTAACTTGCCGGTTGCCTAGGACTTTATTTTGTTTAGCTACATTTTAGTGCAGGATCCATTGTTCAACCCATAGCATTTTAAAGCTTCGCTTCCAGCCATTTATAATTGCATATGTCTTTTACATACTTAATTTATGATTTTTTGATTATTTATTCAAGCAATATTTATTGCATACTTGCTGTGTCCCAGATACTGAGCTAAGGTACTGGGAATATAGCAGTGGGCAAGGCAGACATGATTCTTACCTTCATGGAGCTTATAGTCTAGTAAGGGAGTCAGATGCTAAATGGCTTTTCAAAAAGTATACCTAGAATTTAAAGAAGTGCCTCAAAAGAGAAGAGGAGGGTACCAAGAGAGCCTAGAATTTAATCTGTGCTGGGAAAATTTCCACTAAGGAAGTGTATGTTTAAGCTAAGACTTGAAGGATGAATAGGAGTTTGAGTGTGTGTTATTGCAGATGGAAGAAACTCTTCCAATTAAAGAAAACATGTTTCTTGCTCAAATGCAGGAGTGAGCTTGGTAAATGTGACACACTGACAGAAGGTCAATGTAGCTGAATTATAGAGACCAAAGAGAAGAACAGTGTGAACAAGGGGAAAAGATAGGCAAGAGCTAGATCTTGCATGTGTGTGTGACTGATTAATTACATACCACATTAGGTTAGGAGACTGCAAGAAAGCAGAATAGGCTCAGTGCAAGTATTATGAAATCCGATCTGAAATCGCCTGCTCATAATCCTTAGCAATGAGTACGAAACCCTCTGGGAATGGATTTTTGAGTGTGAGAATTCAGGTCCGATTCTGATTCTTGACATATGAGAATTTGCCTCTCTCTAGCCTGTCTTTAAGGAGAAAAGGAATTTTATCTGGGTCTGTTTTTAATGTGAAGCCCATTTCTTGGTAGATTTACTTAGCTCTCCTAATTTTATATTTCACATATACTGTGAAAAAAAAGTTTTTGGTTCATTTTCTAGAGCCATATTGTATCCCTGCTGTTAGAACTAACAAGGAGGGGTTCACCGATGGAATACTTTTTCTTAAATTGTATTGTTAATGGATTTAGTTGGCACAATTGATGTTTGTTCTTCTGGTTAAGTATTAATTTGGATAGTCTTTATTTCTGTAAGATGAGCGTGTGTTTTTTTGCTTCTCTTTATTTAACAGTTACCATTTTGAATCATGTCCCAAATGGAAAATAGATCACAGAAGTCTACATTTCCCTTTCTAAAAGCCCAGTGTTGGGGGGGCCAGCTGTGTACACTAGTTGTGTTCTAAGAGAGACTCACCCGACTGATGTAAATGTATATCCCTTGCCTGTCCCTGCCCTTCTATGAGCCATCCTGACTCACTGATTACATCCTGGATTCCTCTGACTTTGCATTTAGTTAAATGAACATAAGCACGTCACCTCCTATACCTTTGCTCCAAATCTGTTAGTTTTGTTTTCTGCTTGATTCATGGATTTATAAGTGGTTTCTATAGTAATGTTGGGTTTTCTGTCCATGTATTGGGGGGAAAAAAGCTATGCTTTTGAATTATGTTTTCAGTTATCATTGTCAGGCTAAGGTTTTTGCTTTAGATTCTAGAACATTATACTATACCTATCCCCTATCAGGATTCATTGTTTTGGCTAATGAAACAGAATCTAGCAGCATCTGAACCTTTTTTTCTTTCTTTTCTAATTAAGGTGATTATTAGAGCATTGTGTCTGGGAAGAGGAGTTAATTTGGAGAAAGTGTAGGTTTAATTAAGACTGCTAACAAGACAACTGTAATTGCAAACTCATTTTCTAAATTTAAGGGTTGGTCATCAGTAAAAGTATGTCCGTAACTCTTCCTTGTCGCCTCAGGAAGCAATTTCTACATGACGTTGCAGAGTCCATTTGGGTCCTCTAAAGTGCACTGCACAAGGCTGAGCAGACCATTCTAGACCTTCTTTAGGAAAAACCAAAACCATATTGTTTCAGGGAGGTAGCAGAGCCTACCAGTTAAAAGCTGGACTCTGAATCTTTACATCTAGACTCTATTGGGGTGGGGGTTCACTATTGGGAGACAAAAGGTGGATCTCTTCTCTAAGGGTGCAGTGGTCTTACTCTATACTGCTTAGGTCTAGTTTTTACTCTGGTAAAAAAGTTACACTTAACACATGACTGTGTTTTAGGTGTTGTTGACATATATCAGAATCATGGCAAATGCTTAGAGACTGGGGCAGAAGTAGTGGTAAGCAAGCTAGAGGTCTGCAACAGAATGGGGAAAAGGTAGGGAGGGAAGAGCTGCTGAAATCTTTTGCATGCTAATGAACTGAAATCCTGTGCTGGAATGCTGTTCTTTCTCTCCTTGGGTGCTCTAAAGAAAAGCTTGGAAAAATTCCTGCTATTTTAACTATTATATAGAATTTCAAAGAGCAGGCAATCATTCTTAGTGTTGCCCCTCAAGCAGCCTAGTTCAGAGATATCTTACTTTCTGCCATATTTAATAAGCCTGCAACAGTAGGTACTTAAACATTTTTTGGATGGATGGATAAATGGAAGGAAGAAGGAAGAGTGAATAAAAGGAAAAAAGGAAGGATGGATTTCTAACTAAAGAGGCATGGATTTTTAAAATGTATATCAAAAGGGCATGGGCCTTAAAAAGTTTAGAAATATTACCTTCACTCATAATGAGCAATCTTCAGATCTGGGCACACCCATGGGAGTGTTGTGTTAGTCGTGTTGCTGGGGGAAAAGGAGAGTCATACTTCTTAGTGTTTTCACAGGCATTTGCTTGATTATCCCCTAGGTAATCCAGACTTTCCTCAGAATTGCCCGAGAATGGTGGGACATGCTTCAACCCTTATATGTAGGTGATCAAACTGGCTAACAAAGCCCTTACTTGGAAACCACTGTGCCTCCAATTTTACAATTTTTAAAAAATGACCTTCCAGTTAGCTAAAGACTAGCTCCCTTTAATTCTCTTTGCTTTTGAAATTAAACCATCTATGTCTGGAATTGTTTTCATTTATACCCATTGTTAAAGATTTTCAGAGCTTTTCATAATTTCTATGAAATGACTTCTGTTGACACCAATGATCTGTGAAGAAGGTTTTCATCTGTTTCAAATCATTACAAGCGTTTGACCCAAATACTTCCAAAGGTCCAAAATTTTCTAGATAACCAGCAGACAACAACCTTGTAGGCATCAGTGTTCAAGGATGGTTTTTAGGCAAAAATTTAATCATTATATTTCAAAATAACTGTATGACTTTTTATGATAATTTATTATTTTTCCATTTCATTATTTCCTATGATCTTAGGCTTTGTACTAGCTTTTATACTACCTCTTTCCTAGGTACATTTTAGGACTTGAGACTAGACAGTGAGACTGGAGAAGAGTTCAGTACTTTGCTGTTATAGGCACAAAAATTGATTTATTTCCTTGAGAACTCTCTAGTGTTCTTAATACAATACATGGACAATAAATTGTTATTCAACCACCATGCACATATAGTCGTGTGAAAGAACTTTGTATACTGCAATTGCCTTTTGGTTTTCTTGCATGCTTTGTGTAGAGCTTTCTATTTAATAGGGGAGGAAGGGAGCAAGGATGGTGCTAGGCACAACTGTTTTTTTTTTTTTTTTTTTTTTTTTTTTGTTTTTTTCCGTGTCCCCCTGTTAGAGGTCTTGCTCACCTGAGAGCCACCAAGGCTGTCATCTCCTCTGCTGCTTCCAAGCAACTGCATCCAAAGGGCAGAGCTATGGCTTCTGCCAGCTCTTGTTCCATGTGCTCAGCAGCTCTAGCCTCGAAATAGCCGGGGCTCAAAATGGTCAGAGCGGTTCTTACTTTCTCTCATTGTGGCTTCTCCTGCCTTTGTGAACTCTGGAGGTCTCTCCTCCACTTCCTCTGAGCTCTAGTGGCCCCAGCTTGGCTGTCATTACTTTTTTTTTTTGTCTTTTGTCTTTTTCCGTGTCCGGCAACGGATCGCAACCCTCAGTGTTGTCCCCGTACCGGACCGGGGACCGGCAACGGACCGGCAATGGGATTGCAACCCTCGGTGTTGCTCCCGCACCTCGCTCAGCCAGTGAGTGGGAACCGGTCTGTATGTGGGATCCGAACCCTCGGGCGGGAGCGCCGCCGTGCTTCCCAAGCGGCGCACTATCCGGTGCGCCACCGGGCCGGCCCGCACAACTGTTATTTTAAGAATATAATTGTACATATTTATGGGGTACTGTGTGATATTTGATACATGTATACAATGTGTAATGATCAAATCAGGTCAATCAACATATCCATTACCTTAAACATTTATCATTCCTTTGTTTTGGGAACATTCAAAATCCTCCCTTCTTGCTAATTAAAAGTGTATGATAAATTAATTATGGTCACCCTACAGTGATTTAGAACACTGATCTTTTTTTTTTTAAGTAGTTGCAATGTGGGGTCCCTGACTCCAGCATCAGCATCTCCTTTTGTTTATTTATTTTTTATTGGAACATAGTTGGTTGTAGATATCTGTGGGGTACAGCTTTGAATATCAATACCTGTGTGCAATATGCAGTGTTCAAGTCAGGATAATTTTCGTGGCCCTTTAACAATTTCTCCCTTTCCTCCTTCCCTCTCCCACCCCTGGCAAACTCAGTTCTGTTCTCTTCTCTTAAAGAGAACAGTATTACTGTGAATGTTATATCTTTTTATTACTATGAATGTTGTATCCTTTTTTCTTTCTTTTTTTTCCTTGTTTAATTAGCTCCCACATATAAGGGAGGACATGTGTATTCTGTTTCTGTGCCTGGCTTATTTCACTTAATATAATTTTCTCAGTCTTATTCCTCCTATCTAGCTGTAATTTTGTACCCGTTAACCAACTTCTCCCTATCCCCCTCTCTCCTACCCTTCCTTCCCAGCCTCTGGTAGCCACCATTCTACCCTCTGCTAATATGCAATCAAATTTCTTAGCTTCCACATGTGAGTGAGAAATGCAGTATTTCTCTTTTTGTTCCTGGTTTATTTCACTTAGCATAATGTCCTCCATACTCACCCCTCCCTGCACATATGCACAGCCTCCTCCACTATAAACATCATGCATAAGAGTGGTACATTTGTTATAATATGTAAACCTACATTGATACATCATCATCACCCAAGGTCCATAGTTTACATGAGGGTTCACTCTACATTCTATAGGTTTGGAAAAATGTATAATGACATGTATTCACCATTATAGTATCATACAGAATAGTTTCAATGCCCTAAAAATCCTTTGTGCTCTGCCTTTCCCCTAATCCCTGGCAACCACTGATCTTTTTACTATCTCCATAATTTACTTCTATGTCTTCATGCCTTGATAGCACATATCTTTTTAGTGCTGAATAATATTCTATTGTCTGAATGTACCACAGTTTATTTATCCATTCACTTACTAAGGACATCCTGGTTGCTTCCAAGTTGCAATTATGAATAGAGTTTCTATAACATGCATGTGCAGGTTTTTGTGTGGACATAATTTTCAGCTTCTTTGGGTAAATTCCAAGGAGCGTGATTGCTGGATAGTATGGTAAGAGTATGTTTAGTTTTGTAAGAAACTGTCAAACTGTCTTCTAAAGTGGTTGTATTATTTTGCATTCCCACCAGCAGTCAGTGAGAATTCATGTTGCTCCATATCCTCATCTGCATTTGGTGTTGTCAGTGTTTTGGATTTTAGCCATTCTAATAGGTGTGTAGTGATATCTGGTTGTTTTAATTTGAAGTTCCCTAATGACACATGACATTGAGAATGTTTTCATATGCTGTTTGCCATCTGTATAATTTCTTTGGTGAGGTGTCTGTTCAGGTCTTTTGCCTGTTTTTGGTTTTTTTAAAAAAATTTTATTGAGGGCCGGCCTGGTGGCTCACTCGGGAGAGTGCGGTGCTGATAACACCAAGGCCCCGGGTTCGGATCCCATACAGGGATGGCCGGTTCGCTCACTGGCTGAGCGTGGTGCTGACAACACCAAATCAAGGGTTAAGATCCCCTTACCGGTCATCTTTTAAAAAAAAAAAAAAAGAATAAGTATGATTTGTAACAATATATATGCTAATAATATTGATTTGATCAACATGTCAATGTTGAAACCCCAAAATATGTATAATCAATTATGATTCAATAAAGATCAACATGTCAATGTTGAAACCCCAAAATATGTATAATCAATTATGATTCAATAAAGATCAACATGTCAATGTTGAAACCCCAAAATATGTATAATCAATTATGATTCAATAAAGATCAACATGTCAATGTTGAAACCCCAAAATATGTATAATCAATTATGATTCAATAAAGATCAACATGTCAATGTTGAAACCCCAAAATATGTATAATCAATTATGATTCAATAAAGATCAACATGTCAATGTTGAAACCCCAAAATATGTATAATCAATTATGATTCAATAAAGATCAACATGTCAATGTTGAAACCCCAAAATATGTATAATCAATTATGATTCAATAAAGATCAACATGTCAATGTTGAAACCCCAAAATATGTATAATCAATTATGATTCAATAAATGTTCAGGTCCCCCAATATTATCATAGAGCAGATGCTTCTTCTGTCACTCTGGAATGAGCTATGTGGAGAGAGACATCCTCTTCTTTTCTTTGGTCTCTGCTGGTGACTATCATTGTGCCAATGCACTCCAGTGACTGGCGGGCCATCTGCACAGTGGTTGTGGCATCTAGCTGCTTTTGCAGCAGCTGTGGTTATTGTGGTGGCTGTGGTGGGCCACTCACATGGAGGTGATGTTTTTGGCATGCTCCTTACCTAGTTGTTGGTGGCAATGGCAATGTGCCTGATTGTGGGAGGGGGTCCAGTCCCCCACTCCATGCCTCAGGACCCTTGGTGGGCCTGTGGTGCTGTTTTGCCCATTTTTTAATCAGGCTGTTTGTTTTCTTTTTTTCTTTTTGTCTCTTTTTTACTGACTGGTAATGGGATCGCAACCCTCGGTGTTGCACCCATACCGGGGACCGGCAACGGGATCGCAACCCTCGGTGTTGCACCCACACTGCGCTCAGCCAGTGAGCGGGAACCGGTCTCCACATGGGATCTGAACCCTCGATGGGAGCGCCGCCGCGCTCCCAAGCAGCGCACTCTCCAGTGCGCCACCGGGCCGGCCCTAGGCTGTTTGTTTTCTTATTGTTGAATTTTAAGAATTCTTTGTATATTTTGGATAATAGTTTTTTCAGATAGGTCTTTTGCAAATATTTTCTCCCAGTCTGTGACTTGTCATTCTTTTTATAGTGTCTTTCACAGAGCTGAAGTTTTTAATTTTAACAAAGTGTAGCTAATTGACTGTTTCTTTCGTAGATCATACCTTTGGTGTGTTATTTAAAAAGTCATCATCATACTCAAGGTAATATAGATTTTCTACTATGTTTTCTTTTAGGAGTTTTATAGTTTTGCATTTTCCATTTAGGTCTGTGATCCATTTTGCATTAATTTTTGTGAAAGATGTAAGGTCTGTGTCTAGATTCTTTTTGTGTGTGTGTGAGGATGACAGTTGTTCCAGCACTATTTGTTGAAAAGGCTATCTTTTTCCCATTGTATTGCCTTTGCTCCTTTGTCATAGATCAGTTATCTGTATTTATATGGGTCTATTTCTGGGCTCTCTGTTCTGTTCCATTGGTCTATTTGTCTTGGTTGTTTTTTTTTAGGAGAAACTGTTATATATATATAAAAAGAGGCCATATAGATTATAGATATAAGTAGATGTTCCCATTTCAGATGCTTAAAAAACAAAAGTCCACAATACATTGAATGAAGTTTAGCATAATGATAACACAAATAAAATTACTCTAAAATATCTTTTCCACTTCCACATAGATTCCAGAAAAAATTGACCCTTTTCTTAGATAACATATACCTTTACTCTAGACATAAAAATCATATTCTCTTCTTTCCTTAAAATCTAGTAACATCAGGATGTTTTATGCATGAAGATAAACTAAATATGTTGCAGAGCTAGAAATTCCACCTTATGTCAATTTTGCATTAGTTTCTAAATGTATAAACAAAGAAATCTGTATATGGTGAAATGCTACAGGTACAAACCTGATATATACCTCAAATTTTCATTAACTCAGAGGATAGTGGTAGTGACAGTGAACAATAACAGTTCTATGGACTTAGAGGGTAAAATGAAAACATTATATACATTCTGTGAAAACAGTTAGTTTGTTAATTGATTGGCTGGCTGGATAATGAAGTGAGTGATTAAATAATAAATACCCTGCCTTGTTCTAAAAAGGATTTAAGACCTCTGAGGTTTTCAAATTTACAAGGCCTCCTGATGCCTCATATGACAATTTTTCTAGTAGTACTAGAAAAGTATTACAATTAATTGTTACTTTCCATTGACTGCACATGCACCTTTCTTAGTAATGCATATGATATGATTTGAACAAAGTTTCTGTAGAGAATAAAATCTTATATCATTTTTACTCCCACTTTCTAGGAGCAATCCTTTTCTGTCAGTTGTCAACCTGATCCCTTCTAGACTTATGGTGTGCTTGTACACTGACTAGCAACAATACATCATCTAGTTAACAAAAGCTTTATTCTTTCAAGTGAGACTGTGTAGGGTTCTGGGTGAGAGTGTGGGCTCTGGGGCCGACTTGCTGAGTTCATCTTATTATCTTCCAGTTAGTGACTTTGGACATCTTATTTAACTGTTCTGTGTTTCAGTTTCCCCCTGTTTAAATGTAGTAATAATAGTAACTATATCATAGGGATATGAACGTATGTGTGTTTCAACTTAGAAAAGAACCTGTACATGGTAAACGCTCAATAAGTGTTAGCTATAATTATTCAGCAAATAGTTATTATTAAATGCTAGACCCAGGCGACAAACTGATTACACCATGAACAGGATTTGATCCCTGTCCCTTTGCTATGTTTATTTGGGTTTGGCATTTTTTATTTCATTTGTAGCTGAAGTCAAGTGATTTTGCTGTCCTGAAGCAGTTGATGCCTCTTTTGGAAAAGGTCTCCAACACGTACCCTGATCCTGTCATCCAAGAACTCGCTGTTGATCTCCGCATCACCATTTCTACCCATGGAGCCTTTGCCACTGAGGCTGTCAGTATGGCTGCCCAAAGTACCCTGAACAAAAAAGATCCAGAAGGGAAAATAGAAGAGCAGCAACAAACCAGTCATGAACGACACACCAATGTATCTCACAGTCACCTGGAACGACAGCAAAGCCATGAGAAATACCCCCAAACTGGCCCGCAGTGTAATGCTCCATTCATTCTCCAGGAGGTCAGTGAGCCCAGCACTGCTACAAACCAGAAATCTGAAAGCGTAACCACAGAACAGCTCCAGCAGGTTCTTTTATCAGCTTATGATCCTCAAATTCCAACACGGGCTGCTGCCTTGCGTACTCTTTCCCACTGGATAGAGCAGAGAGAAGCAAAAGTCCTTGACATACAAGAGAAGCTCCTCAAGGTGAGTAGAACACACTACAAAGACATGTGGGTGCGGGTTGGGGAAGCTGTCCAGGAGCATTAATTCAACTCAAGTGTTTTTGAAGCCTTGACTACGTCAAAAACTTTCCTGGACTGCCCTCCCGGAACTTGTAATTGTTCTGAGGAAGCAAGACTTAGACTAGACACAGGAAGGACTTAGATAACCACACAGGACTACTCCATTGAACATGAACAAAGTGCTAGAATTTTTACATGTAAGAAATGTTATGGACAATCAGGAAAAAGAGAGAGTTGAAATCTTCTGGGAGCAGTAGATCTTGACATGGCCTTAGCAAACTGGTAAAGTTCTAGCAGATGAAAGAAATGGGAGGAGGAACAGCATAAGCAAATTCCTAGAGATGGGAAAGTGCCTTTTGTAGAAATAGGTCCACTTTCAACACTGCCCAGAAAAGCTACTTGTTTTCACTGGGCCCCTTTTAGAGGAACATTGGGCAGAACTGGATCTCCTCTTCTCTCCTCTCTTCATCAAAGTGAAAAAGTTATTCTCTAATTATAGATTTATGTGGGAGAATATATATGTTTAGCTAGGGATCTTTTCCCTTTTGTGGAAATTGCCCTGACCTCAGTATGGGTTAGAGAGGAAGAGCAGGGCTGCCTGGCCAGTTAGTTCACTTGGTTAAAGAATGGTGTTATAACACCAAAGTCAAGGGTTCAGATCCCTGTACTGGCCAGCTGTTCACAAAAAAGAAAAGAGCAGGGGGTCTAGAGATTATTGCCTGGGATCAAATCCCAGGTCAGGGCCAGCCAGTTAGATCAGTTGGTTAGAGCACCGCCTTGTAACACCAAGGTCAAGGGTTCAGATCCCTGTACTGGCCAGCTGCCCCCTCTGACATCAAAAAAAATTCCAGATCAGTTTTTTGGACAAGTCGCTTAAATATTCTGATCCTCCATGATGATTATGATAGTCTCTTCTATATGTCCTAGCTATTAGACTAAGAATTATAATTCTGATTGAAAACATTAATTTTAAGTCACTAAAGTATTGGAACTAATTGTATAATAATAACTGCTGTTTATTGAGTCAGGCAATATACCATATAGACATTATTTATAATCCTCACAGCAACTACAGTATTGGTACCTGTATTATCCATGTTTTATAATTAGAAAAAATCGAGGCACAGAAATGTGCCAAAGAATCACTGTCATTGAAATATTGCTGAAAACCTCAAATATATGCCTTCTTTGAGTAATCATTAAAAATATCGATACACCTATTTAGAAGGGGAATGCTGTGAACATCTTTGGAACTTTTTTTTTTTTTTTTAAAGATGACCAGTAAGGGGATCTTAACCCTTGACTTGGTGTTGTCAGCACCATGCTCTCCCAAGTGAGCTAACTGGCCATCCCTATACAGGGATCTGAACCCGTGGCCGTGGTGTTATCAACACCACACTCTCCCAAGTGAGCCATGGGCTGGCCCCCTTTGGAATTTTTTTAACCTCATTTAACCTTCATCTGCTGTACACTATTGGTTACCGAGTCCTATCAATTCTTTTTGCCAAGAAGTCTTTCAAATGAATCTCTTCCTCTTTATTCCCAGAGCCACTACCCTGGATTAAGCTTTCCTTACCCCATACCTGATACCCACATCTTCTAACCTGGTCATATTCCCAACTGGATTTATCTTAGGCTCTCCCGAACATACTTACGATGTAGGGATCAGCAGCAGTAAGTTGATGTCAAGAATCGCTGTGCCAGCAAAGGACATGGCATTACATATGGAGCAGACATCCTTGTCTTTCCTTAGACACCAGACAAGAGGAACATGGGCATCTGGCCACTGTCTTTCTCTGGCTCCCGTATTAGGACCTATATGTAACATGTCAGTGTAATATCTTCTAGATAAACCCACTGCAGTTGACATGCCCTGGTGGTTTCCTAAATCATGAGATATATTGAGAGTAATTTGTTAGTAATGTCAATTGAAATGCTGAAATTTGCAAGATTTAAAAAAATAAATCAGAACAAAGTTATCTCAGTAATAACCTTTCTGTCTCCCTTGCATTTCCATATGCTTTATGAAAGCAAGAGAAAAAGATCAAAATGCAGCAAATGTGCCATCGAGGGCTGGCTGGTTTGCTCAGTTGCTTACAGCACAGCCTTGTGACACCAAGTTCAAAGGTTCAGTTCCCTATACCAGCCAGCTAACAACAACAACAACAACAAAGTGCCGTCAATCGCACATAACTGCAAACTTTGCCTCTTGTGTGTCTCAGCCTGTAGTCTGTCGTGTCATATGTGAGAATGTTATCCACTATGGGCTGTAGTGGAAAAATGTTGAGGACTGTTCTTCTAGATATTGGTTTCCATGACTACTGCTGGTATATACTTCACTATTTCAAGAAGTATCTGCCAATTTCTACCCTTTTTTAACTATTATAAAATGGGACTTCAAACATATATAACCGTTTTCCCTCAACTCTCTAAGTCAGACAAATTTTTAACTAACACAAACAAGAAGAAAAGCATTTACTCTTTTGAGGCTGCTGATAAGGGAGTCTCTTAAGTCTTCCTTGATCTTTGTGAATCATATCACTGCTGTATTTTGTGTTTCCAGATATTCTTGGAGAACTTGGAACATGAAGACACTTTTGTATATCTGTCTGCGATTCAAGGTAAGTTAGTCTTGATTAAAGGACTTTGAGTCTGTGGACCAAAGATTATATCATGTTTGTTAGCACAAAATCTCTCAAGTCAAAGAACCACAAGATTGCTGGTCACTTTGTCCATCTTCCTGTCCCCTAGCTAGGACACTTTAAGTAATCATAATACTATTCCTGGAAAGTTCCCAAAGGGCCTTTTTAGAGCTGTAGTGTCTTATAATGATGAGGAAGTTTTTATTTATGTTTACTTACCATTCTATAGATTAAATACCATTTCCTCTAATTCAAGTAGGTAAAGAATGGTTCACACATGAACTCTTATTATGTTAACCTTTTATGTTATTTGACTACTTTAAGTATGTACCTTTGCTCTCTAAGCTAAAAGAATCTCAGGGTATTTAATATTTTATCAAAAATTGTTTGCAATAATTTTATTTCTCTTCTATGATTCTTTGTTGTTCTCCACATCTCTATTAATTTGTGGACTCCAAATTTAGAAAGGGTGTAGAGAGTTAGGCACCCTTCCCAAAAGAGTGAGAAGCAGACATGATGAGAAGGTCAGAGTTAACTCACAGTTTCTCTTGGCTCTGTCAATGTAGAATAGGTGTCAAGAGCCGGGGCTCTGAAGCAGATCACCTGGGTGTACCTGCCCATTGTCCAGCTTCTCAACTGTATGGACTTTGGCAAATTACTTAATCCCTCTGGGTTTCAATTTCTTAACTATGAAAAGGGAACTAAGTGGGAAACTAAAATGGAACAGCTACTTTGGAAAACAGCCTGTGTATTAGTCCATTTTTGTGTTATAACAGAATACCTGAGATTGGGTAATTTATAAGAAAAAAGGTTTATTTGCATCATGATTCTGGCACAGCTGCATCTGGTGTGGGCCTCAGGCTGCTTCTCCTCATGGTAGAAAACGGCAGGGCAGCCAGCGAATGCAAGGAGATCACATGGCGAGAGGAAGCAAGAAAGAGAAGGAGGGGAGCTGCCAGCCTACTTTAAACAACCAGCTCTTGAGGGAACTAATAGAAGGAGAAGTCACTCACTACCCCTGCCCAAGGGAGTGCATTAATCTATTCATGAGGGATCTGTCCCCATGACCCAACACTGCCGCATTGGGGATCAGATTTCAGCATGAGCTTTGGGGTGACAAAGGCTGGGGAGACAAACACATCCAAACTGTAGCATTTTGCCCCTGGCCCCCCAAAACTCATGTCTCTCTCACATACAAAATACAATCATTCCATCCCAATAGTCCCAAAAGTCTTAGCTTGTTCTAGCACAGACTGAAAAGTCCAAAGTCTCATCTGAGACCAAAGGCAAAAAAGATTTCTTCCAGCTGTGAACCTGTAAAAATCAAACACAAATTATCTACTTCTAATATATAATGATGGGAGGGGGGGAGGAACCGGTAAAGGGGCATGAAAATCAACTACAATGTATATTGAGAAGTAAAATAAAAATAAATAAATAAAAATACATACATACATACATATATATATAATGGTAGAACTGACATTTGGGTACACATTCCCAAACTTACATCTCAATAAAGCTGCTGCCAAAAAATAAAATAAAATAAAATTTAATAAGAGGGGAGAGTGCTGAAACTGTCAGAGCCTAGGAGGTATGATGACTAAATGTAACGTGGCAGATGGGATCCTGGAACAGAAAAAGGACGTTAGGGAAAAACTAAGGAAATCTGAATAAATTATGGATTTTAGTTGATAACGAAGTGTCAATATTAGTTCATTAATTGTTACAAATGTACCATACTAGTGTAAGATGTTAATAATAGGGGCAACTGGGTGTGGAGTTTATGGGAACCCTTTGTACTGTCTTCTCAATAAGTATCATAAATAGTTTATAAAGGGAGGCTAATACTAGTATTAAATGAGTTAATGCATTGAAAGTGCTTAGCACGTAGTGTTTAATATATGTTAGCTATTATTATTTTAGTGTTGTTATTATCATTATCGTCATCATCATCACTGTTACTTTTGTTGGATTGCTGTGTCATAATTTGGTGATCTGTGTAACTTCTCGGATCTAAAGCTTGAATAGGCTGATTCTATCAGTTAGTTATTGCTGCTTAACAAACTACCCCAACACCCAGTGACTTAAAACACAAGTCATTTATTGTTGCTCACCTATCTGCAGACCAGCTGGGGTTCAGCAGCTCTAGGCTGGGCTCAGCTGGGCAGCTCTCCCTGTCCTTGCAGAACTGTGGGCCGGCTGCAGTGGTTCTGCTGCATGTGTTCCTGATCATCCCTGGACCAATGGCTTACCAGGGCCTGTTCTCCTCATGGTGATGCAGAAGTGTCAGAGAGCAAGACGAAACTCAAGAGGCCTGTCCAGGCCTCAGCTTGCAACAGACATCCTGCCACTTCTGTCTCATTCTTTTGGCTAGAGCAAGTCATGTGGCCCAACCCAAAAGTGAAGGAGTGGAAAAACATACTGTCCCTTTAATGGAACAAATTGCCAAGTCACATAGCAAAGGGCATGGATGCAGGAGGGGATGAAGAATTGAGGCCAGTAATGCAGTTCTTCACACTGATGTGTTCTGTTTACCTTCTAAGGGCAAAAACAAGCTTCTGGAGGAGCATAGAGGCACGTGTAGGTTCTTAGCGGCTAGTTCTTTCTGGGTATCATTTGGGTATACTCTATACAGACTTAGTATTCGAAGCTTAAGAGAGAGTGCAGAGGGAAAAGTGTACAGTGATGAAGGCCTGAGCCTTGGGAATCTTTATTTATTTAAAAAACATATATTGTGCCCCTACTACATATGAAGCACTTTAGATTAACTGTGAGTTGTTGTGACTAGCTTAAAAAGCAAAAAGAGAAATCTTCAAAGGAGACAAAATGACCACCCAAAGAGGTAAAAGGACAGCTAGGTAAGAGCAGAAACGGAAAGAATAGAGGGTTTCAAGAGAGAAAGTAAATACCTGCAGCTGAGAGGTCAAAGAGGGCAGGAATCGAAATAGGTTTGGGGGCTAGGGCTCAGGGGGCCACATGACAAGGAATAGTTCTTATGGAAATCAGGTAAATCAATGAAACAAGAACCTAAAATGCCTATAATTAACAAGTCTCAGAAAACAAGTCATCCTATGCTTTTCCCAAGAAACTGTAATACTGTCAGTTTGGGAGATGTTTTTCATTAATTTTTTTTTTTTTTAGGATTGGGTTTTTGGGAACTGTTGGCATGTCATTCTAAATGCAGTGGCATTGCTGTTTGGAATAAGCTTCTTAGCTGATTAACCCATTGAGCTCATTAGCCTCTAGGATCTGCTATAAAAATCACAACTGTTTGGTGTTATGTTTGTTTTTAGAAATTTTAATTGGTGTGCTAATCAGTTAGTAGCTAATTTGGTGATGAAGAACATGGGAGGTAGAGATGTATTTTCTGTTCTCAGCTCCCCACGATGGACAAGTTTGAACTAATTGATGTTTTGGTGTTTGTAACATGGACTTAAAAGCCAAGGCCTTAGGTGAATTTCCCATTAAGAAAGGAAAGAGCTGAATTTTCCCATGTGCATTGCCAATGTAGTTTGCACAGGCCTCAAGCACTCCAGGAACAAAGCCACTCTGGTCTCCCAGTCAGACAAGACCAGCCCGTTTTGTAAAAGTCCTGCAGTACAAGGGGTGCCTGGTTGTAGTTTGAGTAGCATTTAGTTTGGGGCACTGTGTGTGTGTGTGTGTGTGTGTGTGTGTGTGTTTAAAGTTTTCTTTTTCTAGGCTGCCTAATTACAGTGTATTTTTTGCTTAATTTATAGGTTTTCTTTTATAAATTCTCACCAACTCTGTCTACGATCTAGTCGGAGAGCAGAGGGGAATTAAATTCATTCATTCAACAGATATTTATTGATGACTGATTTGGGAAGTTCTGATATATGTATTTGTCTGTCACAACAATCTGAGAACTAAATTTCCTATGAGTTAAGTTTTAATTTTATGAAAGACTGTCTGCGTCTTTGTTTATTCCTACTCAGAAAGTGATGGTTGATTTAGTTTTCCTAGCAGCTGCTCACAGGTACTCAATGGCAGCTTCTTCAGGGAGAGAATTATATACAATGTTGCTGAGTTCAAGTTATCACCTAGAGTTTACAGATAGATGACTTATTCTTAAACAGACTTAAGTGTCTCCCTTTTGTATATTCCTTGTATATTCTTTTTTCATTGTTTTTAATCACCATCATTATTACACAAGTAATGCCTTCTCGTTTTTTAAAAAATTTCAATGCCAAAGAAGTATATAAGGTAAAAAGTCAAAGTCTTTCTCTTTTCTAGTACAGGAGTTAAAGTATGTCCTTGAGAGTTCCATAATGTATATTAGATGTTTGGGGCATTTTTCACATTTCAGGTTTGAAATAGATGTTTAACAATGAATGTGATAATAAGTGATATTCTTCAATAAGATATTATAGCCAGATCATTTATCCTACTGTAGATCTCTGCTCATGTGTCCTTTCACTCACTTTGAGTTATTTAAAGGACATTTTGAAAGCAACAGCATTTCAGGGATTGAAGTGATCCTTCTCAGTGGATCTTTGGGTAAAACTGCCAGGCTCATTTTTTAAAAAAGTGAAACCACCTAGGCTGTGAGCCAAGCATGGGAGGTGAAAGTATGCCAGTGTGTGTAGAGTGAAGAGAAGCTAGACTTCTTCACATGCCCAAACAAATCACACCATCTCTTCCACCCTCTTCCTTTCAGAAAAGAGTTTTCATTTCTGGCAAAATTGCCAAGGAAAGGGAAGGCAAAAGGCCCGGAAGGGGGAAGGTAGATACAAGATGAAATTGTTTTTACAGAGTTTCAAACTGAGCAAGATTACAAGTCTTAACTTATCAGGGACTGAACTCTCTATCTCATTCTCAGATTTCTACCTCAGAAAAGTAAGTTGAGAATCTATTAACTGAAAATAATTCTATGCCTTGAAGGATCATCTAATTGGATCTGGCATTGAAATTTGGAATGCAGTCCTGTGAAGTTTATCATCTCTGTTAATGTCCTTGAA